TGCAAAGCTTTTGCCACTGGATTTGGAAAGAGTTTGATCTCTTTGCATTGGCACTAAGTATTTTTGAAGAGTTTCATATGCCTACGCTTAGATTTTTCTTCTTTGGGGTGAACCATCAAATGTTTTAAAATTTTTTTTGTAGGTCATATTTTTTAGACCTTTCATTGCCTTCATTGCTTTTCAGCAGACTCTCCAGTCAATCCACCTCTTTGTTATACTTAAAAAGGAACAGATTTGCCCTTCTGGAGTCTGAAAATCGGTGGTCACAGCATAAGGATTACTTTTTGTGTTTTGCCTGCTGAATTTTAGTTTACATAGTCCTATATAGTGTTTTCTCTCTTAATGACAGCATCACATGTTAGCTTACATTCTTTTGTTCCACTCTGCAGTCTGGGCCATCCTCTTAGGAACAGCCTCCGTGTACTTTTTGCATTTGATTATTTCTGTCTAAACATATTTATTGCCCTTGTTTTGAATTCCAGCTTTAGCCCATTTTTCCAATTTAAGAGATTTTTTAAAATTCCAGTGTTGTCTGTTATACTTTCAGCCCTTCTAGATGTGTCATGGAAACAGCAAGAAAGACATTACATTTCTTTCTGCAAGTGTACTGTTGCCTTATCCAGTGTTCACAAAATCCCCCAAGCCGCTGACTGCTCAAATATTACGAAGTACCTTGCTGTAAATGCTCCTGAGACACTGTCATGTATCCTATAGGACATTCAGAGAAGTGCAGTTATTTTAAAACTTAGGTTAGCACCTGGACCTCCTTCTGCAAGTCCCCCTATACTGCTTCTGCCTTGAAGTGATGATGGTGATGGTGTTCAGGTTCAAGCTGATTTTGCCCCACTTTTTCCATCCTCTAAATAACTATGAGCCAGGTAGGGAAGCAGCTTTGTTTTCTCTTACTGAGTTTGTTTATTGTATGAAATCAAACATGCATGTGCAACTGTGTATGAAAGTGTGGCCTAGCACTGTAAGTTTCTAACCTAATCCATATAAAGAAAAACTTAAAAAAATAGTATAATCAGTTTTGGAGGGTTTATGCACTGATCAAAATCAAAGGGGCAGCTCTGCTGAAATTTGTGGATTGTAGAGGCTGCAGAAAAGGTCTAGCCAATTAGAAAGAAAATCCTTTTTAACCCCCCCAATTATTTCTCAAGGATACCGTCCTGTATTTCCTTAATCTTTTTCAGGAGACATGTACACCTTCTCTCGGTCACTATTCCAAAACATACATCTTTATCCGGAGTAGTTATTCTCCCTCAGTGGAAACAATAAAGCTTTTCTCTGTGCTTTTCCTTAAAGATTAGGCAGTGAATTTGGCATTTGATTCATAAGCTTTTTGGTCCTAGGGTGGCTTGCATTTAGAGTATGCAGAGGGTGTGCAGAGGGTTGGATATCTGTACCTTATGAAGTAGCTGGTGGTGCACTGCTCTGTAGGACACACGCCATGTTCTCGGAAAGCAGCTTTAGAATACGTTAATATTTCTCAGCTGGGTCTTTGGGGAGAGAGGCTGAAAGAGTTCCTTAGAATCAGGAACCATTTGCTCCCTTTCTTTGCAGTAGATTCGCAGTGGAAGTAAAATTCAGTGATAGGTTTTTTGTTTTTCATCCTGGAGCTACTAGGCTGCACTGTCATTTCACAGCAACAGAAGACTGTAAAATATGATATATGATTGCTCTTTTCAAAATGTTCTCTTATACCACTGTAAATCAGGAGAATGTCTTCTGAAAGTGGTAGAATTATTCCCATTTTATTCAGTGAGAATATAATTAAAGAGACAGGAAGGCAATGAAATGTAACAGTAATGAAATACAACTGATGACAGAAATGTTTCAGTCTTTCCCTGCTTACAAAAAAGATGGATGATGCCATCCTGATTGCCTGTAGGCTTATGGTCCAGGTGTAAAGCTGTCCAGCTTTGGGGAGGTGCCCAGATGTGTGACTTACTATGGCAAACTTCAGGCAAACCTGATATCCTATAACATCAGCTATATTTTAAGATACAAAGAAGAATATAAGAAGGAAGAGAAATCAAAGAAAAGGATGGGGGTCATGCTGGATCACAGTTGCAAACTGAAGTCTGCTAGAAAGTGTCTGAATCATGTCTGAAACTTCTTTGGAAAGGGAAAGAGCTTTGCAAAAACTAAGAAGAATGATGCAGTCTAAACTCTTCTCTGTTGTTGTTTACAAGACCTGAGTGTTTCTCCCCAGGAAAAGTGGGGCAGTTTTTTGTCTGCTGTCCTGTTCCCTGTTTGGCACCTTGAAGAGACTGGCAGGCCATTTTCTAAAATATCCATCAGTCATTAAGAGAGAGCAGGATGACAGAATCACTAATGTAACATGAAAGAAGTGATAGGAAACATCAACAATTCCTGTTAAGTAGAACAAGTGTTAATAATATTCAGGGGATAAAGCTGAAATATCACTGAACCTTTGACAGTTTTAGGAAGCTAATCAGTTGTGTGGGGGGAATATCTTTGCAAAAGTTTCTAAAAATGCTCTGGAAGCACTCAATCTTGCTGAAGCAGGGGGTCAGCTCACTTGGTTATTATTAGTTAGGCATTTTACACCATTGTCTGTCTTTTATTGCTTTTCACACTCAAGTCTCAAAGTGTGTTACAGGGTGGTCAGTAGCATTGTTCCTGCAGCGCTGAAAGGCGAATAAAAAGTCAGGGTTGATAATTTGCCTGGGGTTACCCAGAAGCAGAGCAGAGGACTCAGAGTGCCTGTTTAGTACATTATTTACTCAGGTTTCCTGAGAAAAGTCCACCCAGGGAAGGTTGGCACAATATATTAACACAGAAAGAGATCACATCAAAGAGTTTTAACACCTCAAATTGACAGAGGCGAAGTGGGAACACAGGGGGATGCATAAATTTTCTTCTAGTCTCACAGCAGATTAACAAGAGAAGCACAACTCCAAGCCAGGTGCCTTGCCTTGCTGATAAGCGGCTCAACCCCAGGCTGTGCCGGCTCAGCCAGGGTCTGTGGTCACACTCTCTCCTCCTGAGCTGAAAACACCCTCTTTTCACCTGGAGATGGAAGAGGCAAGTGATAATATGAAATACTTTTATTTTGCACAAGAGTGAAATTCTACAAACAGAAAACTCTCCGGCACAGGGGAACAAAATAGGAAGAGAATTCAGAAATGCTGTACCATGTATTTAATATTTGGCAACTTGTACTTCGGAGTTAAAACAATTTTTCATGTGCCCTTTTGAAAACATGAGGCTGCATGCATGAAGAAAACATCCTATTTCCCAGGGAGCCATGTTTCAAAAGCAGAAAAAGAACACTTATCCATGGAGCACTAAATCAGCTTATGTAGGTAGCTGACTAACTTTCTCACAGAGATGATTGTCCCAGAGTGAAGCTGAGGAACCAAGGCTTAGGTATGTAAATATTAAAAGGTGTGCAGGAACATAAATTAGAAAATTTGACAATTTTAATGACTTGCATTTATTTTCACTTGCTGACTTCCCTGGCTGACATCAGAAGCTGCATGTTAGGCTGCTACCAGAGAAGGCAGAGGGCAATAGGGACAGGATAGACTCAATTCCCATGTTTCCACAGTCTGCAATGGCAGCATATTACCTGATGTAAAAAAAAAACAACTAATAATTGTAGGAGCTTCCTACAATCTCCCCTAGACATGGAACTACCATGTAAGATTACCTGTTACCTCAGCAGGAACTTCCAGGCCAATGGACACTTAAATCACATCATTATTACACACACCTGGATTCCCTGATGGAGGTTTTTCTATTTTGCTTGGTAGGATTATGGATGGAGGGAGGATTAAATGATAAGTGAATCATGTGACAGCAAGCAAATGCCTACATGAGGAAAGAAATGGTGACTGGAGGAGGCCTTTTCATTTCAAGAGATTGTGTGCAATAGAAAACAGATATATAAGGCATTATGGTGCCTAACACTGCTTAGATGCACCAGGTTTGTGTGTTTTGCCTGTATTGACTATGGGATCCTCAAGGTCTGTGGGCATTTTAGATCACGTGGCACACTATTGCCCTGGTGTTTGTGCAGTCCTGGAATGGAAACATTAATGGGGTTGTTTTTCATAACAGAGGCTATGGCATGCATTTACAAAGAGATACAGTTTGTCTGATTTCATTTAGTTTTCAATGTCCATTTCAGTCTGGTAGTTTTGTGCTCAACTGCCATCATGGAGCAAGAGGTAACAATCCATGGCCTCAGTGATACCAAGCCTTGGACAGCACTCAGAACATCTAGCCATTTAACAGGCAAATGCAAAAGCTATAAACCAGTGTGATGACCCACCTGATGCTCCTTCCCAATGTACCTTCTGCTATTCCACGAACACAAATTGGATGAATCTCTGTTACCAAGAAATCTGCACATTCTGAGTGTCAGTGCTCAGCTCTGCTGCATGTATGAGAAGGAAAACAGTAAACAGGAGGACTAGCACAATATTTCCATGCCATTTGTTATTTTATAGAGCTGTTTTTCACATTTATTTTTATTTGCTTCTTCTATAAAATGGCCACAATTGACTTGTATTAGATATTTTACTGAAAAAGAACAGAAAGCACTTCATTTCGCTAACCTGCTTTCTGACAGTTGCAATTTCTTTTTACTTTTTTTACTTTTTTATAATTTATAGCTAAGTAACAGAGAATGAACAACTCTGAAATTTGCTTTTAAGGCCAGGTACATTCCAGGAGCATTATTTAGATGGCACTCTGAGTATACATATTATTGCTTTCTTATTTAATTGGGTACAAATAAAATCCAACATCTGATTTGGGAATACTTTTGTGTCAGCTTAGGTTGTTTTCTGACTCAATTTGGTGAGCAGACTGTGAGTCTCATTACTTGAGTAGGTGACTGCAAGAGGCTTCTGTATAAAAGGCTACAGTTAATTGTTTTAGCTGAAAAGACAGAAAATAGAATGAGGATCCGCATCTATTAGCTGATTTTTCCCCTTGTCTAAACAATTTTTTTTTTTATTTTACAGGTGATGGAAATTAAAGGACAAATGATTCATGTGCCAGAATCAAACTCGATATTATTTCTGGGTTCCCCCTGTGTGGACAAGCTGGATGAGCTGATGGGCCGAGGCCTCCATCTTTCGGACATACCTATCCATGATGCTACTCGTGATGTCATATTGGTTGGGGAGCAAGCAAAGGCGCAGGATGGCTTGAAAAAACGAATGGATAAGCTGAAGGCAACACTAGAATGTACACACCAAGCCCTGGAAGAGGAGAAAAAGAAGACCGTAGATCTCCTTATTTCTATTTTCCCTGAAGAGGTGGCTCAGCAGCTGTGGCAGGGGCAGCAGGTTCAGGCCAGGAAGTTTGATGATGTCACCATGCTCTTCTCGGACATCGTTGGCTTCACTGCCATCTGTGCTCAGTGCACGCCCATGCAGGTCATCAGCATGCTCAACGAGCTCTACACGCGCTTCGACCACCAGTGTGGATTCCTTGACATCTACAAGGTAACAGCTCAAGTCCTAACCTAGCAAAAGTTAACTGAAATGAAGGCAGAAAAAATCCCAGTAGCTTTCTTCCTAAATTGCAGACCTTCCTTAGAAAAATATGTAGGTAATATTTTTGTTTTACATGCAAAAAACCCTAAATCTGAAATATGATAGTTGAAACTCAGATGCTTCAATATGAAACTGTCATCATGGTACTCCAGTGGGAATATAGGCCTCATATCCCCATTTTCCTATAGAAATATCTCTTTGCAGAGCATCTCCTGTATTATAGCCTGGTTTCCTTTAGATGACACGTCAGCCACAGCATCCTAACGATGAAGAAGTGCACAGTGATGAATCCTAACCCAAGCTGCAGCTCCTGAGAGGCACTCACTTTCAACTTGAATGGTTTAGGGTTTAGGCATTTATCTTTCCCTTGAAAAAACTAAAATTTTCCATAAGGAGCAAGCATTCACTAAAGAAAGTTATTAAAAGAAACTTCCACTGAAACACAGGAAGAGGACAGCAGATGTCTGTGCATAGTAAATGTAATGTTAGGGACATGGTGCTGGTGTGCCATGCTCCAAAGGAAATATCACACATGTTGGTCCCATTAGAGAACTCATCTTCACTTCTCTTAAATGGATTTGGTGTCTAGTATGTATTTGAAAGAAAAAACAGGGGAGGTAGAATTTAATAAATGCTCTGAAGATATTAGCAGTGTAATTATCCTCTGCAACCTACAGTCTGCTTTGTATATGGAATGCCTTTAATTTTGTGATAGAAGAAATAGACCAAGTTTCTTTTTATATGTTAATGCACAGGAGAAAAGAGATGTGGTTGTAAAATTATATATTGACTTTATTATGTGCCTGAGGTTTGCAAACAGTTTTCAAACTATTTCATATAGTATTTGTTGATAAGCTGTAGAGAAAAAGGTCTTACAAATGTCCTGCTCCTTTCATTTCTAGCCTTTAATGCACTTTAAAAGGAATTGAAAAATAATCACTACCCACCTAAATAATAATAATGGCTGAAAAGTTACAGCATGTACTACAGATAGAACTGAAAATGGTGTAGCTAAAGGTTGGTAGGGCAGTTTACCAAAGTAAACAAGCACACTGTAAAGAAGTTTAGGCTCCTGGTTTAGGGGTTTATTTCACTAATGACCAGAAGGCTATTCTGGGACATGAATGCAGTGAAGGTACCAGCCCTCATGTGAAAATTGTTATGGTGATGCTGTTAGAAAAGATGGTGAGTGTGATCTCAGTTTGTGTTAGTCTAATGTTGCTGCACTGGATTATGACCCAGCTTCAAGAACAGGACTTGAGGAACTTCTAACCCAGAGTCAGGAGGGATGCCTAGTCACCCTGCTTCATATGCTGTGTGTTCACATGGGTGCACTCACTGTGCTCCCAGGGGATTAATTTCAGCTGTTTTGAAGCATTCAGAATATCCTTTGTTGAAAATTATGGTTGCATGGGAATAGGATATAAAATGTGCTTTTTATCGATATAGATACAGAATATACTCTATGATCTGACTGTAAAGAAGGTTGGTTGAGTCCTGTGAGAACACTAATAAGGAATATTTATGCATAGGTCATAAATATTATATCATTTAGACCATGGCTTTCTGCCTTTCACCTAGCTTTGGTCTACTGGGGCTAGAAAGATGTTACTTCATGAAGATACTGTCCTGACCAATGATATAAGGTCACAGCTGTTGAGGTAGGCAAGATGAGATTTATGCATTCATAAAAAGAAATAAGCACTTCCGTGTTGAAACTCCCATGTAATTCTGTGAGCCAAGGTATGAATAAAAACCTGTTTTTCTATGGAAGAACGGCTTACAGCTCAACACACTCTCTCTGATGTTGCTGCCCTATTATAGGCAGTTCCCTCTCAGATCCTTTCATCCTGGACTTTCCTTATCCTCTATCTCCCCCCATCCCTCCACCCACCCTACCTACTTGTCCCTTGATTCCCACCACCACTCACTCATGAGCAAGGCAGTGTGCATTTTGGCTGTTTTGGAGCTGTATGTACCTTTTTTTCCCCCATCCAAATGTTTTTAAATAATTTTTTTTTTTGACCAGAAGTCCAAAAAAATTTCTGAGGGGTTAAGTGAAACTGGCTCAGTTTAGCACTACAGAAAGAAAAAACTCAGGCAATGAACTCTTTTTTGTTTCACTAGAGAATCAGGCTTAAAATAAAATAGCAATCCTTTTGAAAGAAAACATTTGCATTTTAAAATGAAAATAGCTTGTGTGTTTATATCTTTTTCATTTGTTTCAGGTGATATTCTGGGAGCAAATTTTATTGCTAGGAATGATCACCACCACCACAATTATGATTTTAGAAGTTATTGTCAGGTAGTGAATTTTAGATACTTAATCACCACTATTTGTATCCAGCTTGCCTCAAAGATATACTTGTGTAACTAGGCTACAGAAATTTATTTATTTATATGACCTAAATACATCAATTTTTAAATTTGCTTGTTTTTAAGCAGCATGGCAAGAATACTTTGCAAAGGTTATTTGGTGGGCGCATCTGAATACCAAATTCACCGTTTTGTAAACAGAAAGTTAAGTAAAATGCAATAAATAAATTCCATGTTGTAAATTATTTACCCGGGTTTACTGTTACAGCATTTGTATGCAGAAACTCACTGCTTCTAATCTGGCAGTGAATGTAATATTTTCATTTGTCTCCCGCTATTCATCCAGGCATGTTTATGGAGAAATATAGCACAGAAAGAACAAAGATCCTCACATTTAACTAGTCAGACATAGAGGGCAAGCATAATGAACTCTTGGATACAGACTGAAAATGCTTGGAGAGAGCTGAAGGGTGATGAGTTAGACTTTGAAATTTCTTGGAAATCAAAGTATGTAGCTATAACTGATGAGGTAGGGAAGGCTTATCCAATGGATGGAGGCATAGGTAAGAATGACACAGACAGATGATGGGCCCAGAAAATTAATTTCACAGCAGCATTTTGAATGGATAGCAACGATGAGAGATCACATTTGTCCAGGCTGGGGGAGAACAATGCTGTAATTGAGATGCACGATGCTATGAGTCTGGGTGACAGTTTTAGTAATCTAGAAGAATCTCTGTTTTAGAGAGTGAAACCTGGGAAAGAATCTGCTGACATACAGCCTTGGTGAAAAGATTAGGAGGGACATGTTCATGATAATGACAGAAGAACAAGGAGGTGAAGGAACTGAGACCTGGTGATGCATTTGGAAACTGGTGCTGTTGGCTATCAGCGCTAATTATATTTGGCTTGGAGTTGAGGAGTGGGAGAAAAAGTCAAGCAGGGAGTTCAGTTCAGATCATTGTAGCTGTAGATGCTTGGCAAGCTGGTGTTTGAGGACATGCAAGTAGAAGCATGGACTCCAGGAGCAGAAGTCATGGGAGAGATATCTCAGTAAATTTTGAAAGCTGTGGCTTTGGGTAAAATACGTACTTGTTGACCTGACTGTTTTGACCTGTTTTTCTCTGCATCTGAATTCCTGTTTATCAGCCAAGTATTGGGAAACAATGCTTCAGTTAAGCTATCTCTTTATCAAATAAGCTATTTAGATATGCTGCAGCCATGTCTTCTGGCATTTAAAACTTAACCCTGCTGTCTGAAATCTTCCCCACTTAAGATTCCCACAGCTTCTGTTTCTCCTTCATGTAATATGTATTTGACATTGGCTCATTTAAAATACTTGTTTCCTGTTGAGTCCTTCTGCCTTTGTAGGCCTGCTTTCTCAGCTCTTTTCCCCTCAGTTTCCCTTGTGAAACATTTCCCTTTTGCACCCTTTAACTACTGTGGAAAGGCAGCATTTATTGTGCATGTTTTTTTGGCTATATATATTGGCTGGGTAATGTCAAGCCAAATAGAGCAGAACCAGGCCTGATCCTGTAGGTGTTAGTTTCTTTATCCTTTCTCTAAACAGGGCAGAATTTGTCCTTGAAGACATTACAAATTTTCCCTGACACTATACTTCACTTTCTGTAAAGTGCTAAGTCCCACTTTCCTTGTCTAAGCAGAGAGTCCTAAATGTTTTTTGAAAATGAACTGTGGTCAGCTGTCAGAATTACTTTGCTATCCATCTTCATTGTAAAAATTTTAATTGAAAGTTTATTGAGTATTTGTATAAGACAGTATAATTACATACATTCATTTTACAGTCAGAATCCACAGCTTTGTTATGTGAATTCATGCTTTCTTTTTTGTTTCATTTTTTGGTTAAACTAGCACTTGTTCTGACTGGTACCACACACAGCTTCCTTGAGCTTTTATTCCTGGCAACATGATACACTTAGTATGTTAGATCTTTATTTTCTGATTTTATATGCCTAGCACTATATACAGCTTTAATGTTTACTCATTGTAAAGACTCAAGACTAAAAAATTATGGGAAGTCTGGACTGTCCTGTAATCATTCAAGACTGATACCAGTTTTGAAAAATGTTGTTTATATTTAGGTTGTGACATAATGCTTTTAGGAACGTAATTTTAAACTCCCATTTTCTAAGAATATCACTTTACATTTCTGTACTGGTAGTTAAAGTTGCAGAAATCTGTATTCATTTTACAGAAAATACCAGTGCATTCTCAGTGCCATGACTATTTCCTCTTGAGAACTAATACATCTCGTACTCAAATACATGTTCTCAACCTTACTATCAGTGCTATAATGACTAAAGAATACTTCATTAAGCAGGGTCATGAACTTCAGACTATTCTGAAGTTTTCCAGGCTTTATGTTCCATGAGTTAAAAAACATAGTTTCCAAGTTTTAATGTATAATCTATGGCCACTATTTTTGCCATCTTTCCATCCAGTTTTAACTTCTTAAATTCTGTGCAAATACTTGGCCATTTTGAGAAGTTTTGAAATTCTAAACTTCAGCTTAGGCATTTGCAAAATGCAAGAAATACAATTAACGTGTAAAATTATAGTGATACTCTTTCATGGGCAACACGATACACAGAAAATATTTCAAGATACCTTTG